CTCATCAAATTGGTGATACCTCATTGAAGCTAAAAACTCACAAGTCAGCTCCTTGTAAGACTCCATGCGGTGAGAGAAGAACTTCCAAGTTGCATGTTCTTGAGCACCAACTCCACATCCTCAAAGATTCCAAGATCCTCATGTGTCATCATGTGGGTACTTGGTCTCCACAAAGTCCATGGAGAAGAGAGCATTGTAGTGCTCTTGGTACATGGGGAGCTCTCCTCCTCTTGCTCTCCTCAGCCTCCTCCATTGGCTCATCTTGGTTCCCTCTTGCTCATCTTCATCAACCAATTGGTTCACCTCTTCTCCTTCCTCTTCACTCTCAGTCTCATCACTTCCTTCTTCATTTGGAGAGCCATTTCCCTCTTGAACAAGGTTCACTCCAATCTCAAACTCCCCTTGCTCACTCTCACTACTTATGGGTCATTCCTCTTCTTGGTTCTCCTTTCTTCCCTCAATCTCTCACTCTCAGACTCTCCTCAGAGTAGACATATCCCTGCATCAGATTCTCTTCTCCTCTCTTGATCTCATCTCCAAATCGGCTTGCATCTTAAGCCTTCTCTATTCCTTGCTTCTCTCCTTTGTGAAGCGCGACTTCCCTCACTGTTTGTCACATCTTGTTACTGTTTCTTCACTAAAGTACCTGAAATGCATCAAAGATTACAAAGAATTAGAGTTGTAATGATCGGTTTGGTCAACTCGACACTCAGCTCGATCGAGTCAAAAAACTCGAGTGACAAACTCGATCGAGCTTGGTGAAAACAGAGTATAACCAAACCTAATTCAAGTATTAAGAGCTGGAAAGGATGCTAATCAATCAAATTGAACCAAGAACAACTAGTAAATGGAACAATGAGCAATTCTAGTGAAAACTAAGCATCTTAACCAACCAAACTCAAATTCAATTTCAAGCACATGCAACAAGTTTAATGGCAAAACAGAGGTGAGGTGAGCAAATACAAGATTAACAAATAGAAGATAAGAAAGCAATTACTCAAGAACAAGTCCACAAGGGACACATGCAATCAAAAATCAAGAGAAACAAGCAATATGAAATCGAGATGAGGATCAAGGGTTTTAGGGTTCATACCTTGTTGAATGATGAATTGAAGAACAGTAAACTAGAACCCAAGCAAAACAAGAAGATGAACAATGAAATCGCAAAAACTTAGAGAGAAAGTTGAAATCGATTTCTTGTGGATGAGAGAGAGAGAGATGAGATTTCAGAAAATATGAGTGTGGGAGAGAGAGTGGGTTCGATCGAGTTATGGGGAAGAGGGTGTTTGAGATGTGTGGTTGAGATTAAAAGATGAAATAAAGAGGGAACAAGAAGCTAGGGATTTCTGATCAATTAGGGTAGTGGGGGACCAAAATCAGCTTGTGGGACCCACTCCCTTGACCAAGAAAACGGTTATGAATTTGAAATTCAAAAACTTACCTCGGTCGAGTTGTGGAACTCGATCGAGTTGCCCTGGTTTCTAGCTCGATCGAGCTGTCGGTCGAGCTGGCTCCTTGACACCTAAACTTAACTTATTGAAAGGTTAAAAACATAAAGATAGATAGAAATTGCATAAATAGAATATGTACAAGGATAAACATGGGACTTCCTCCCAAGTGAGCTTGTTTAAGGTCCCATAGCTTGACCTTTACCTTCTTAGGCATTGGTTGAGCTAGTCCCACCATCAAGGGTGATAGTGAGGACTTGAGACAGAAGCTCCTTTAGCTTGGTTGGGTCCCTGGACTGTTCTGAAGTCACCAAGGCCTTGGCTCTAGAGAATGGCCTTGATCTCCCCTTGTACCTTATCTTGTACTCAATCTTCCCATTTTCAAACTTGGTGGGGAACAAAGTCATTGTGAGCTGAGATGGCTTGACTGAAGGGGCCTGAGCTGGTGGATCCTTTCTTTTATCTCCTGGTCTTGCCTTAGAGGCTACATCCTCCCCTTCTTTTAGAGCCCTTCCTAGTGGCTCATCAAACAAAGCTTGAAGGCTCTCTTCATCAAGCACACAAGGGGCTTGAACAAGTCGATCAGCTCGTGGCCTATCAGACGTGGTTTCTCAACTCTAGCCCTCTCAAGACGTGGCTTCTCAATCCTTGGTCCTCTCTCAACCTTATCCTTCCCAACTCTTGGTTCTTTGTCAACCCTTTCCTTCACAACCTTTGTAGCTCCATGACTCTTAGAACTGAGAGTGGTACTGTCAATTGTGGCACAAAAGTCTGAACCTCTAGGCTGCAAGCGATATGACACCAAACTATTCACCTTGTGAAGGATCACTTCTTGCTTGTGAAAGTCTATTGAAGCGCCAACTGTACTAAGGAAAGGGGTTCCCAATAACAGAGGTAAATCCTTCTCTTCTTCCATTTCCATCACAGTGAGATCAGTTTGGATGATGCATTCTCCAATTTTCAAGTGATAGTTCTTGAACACTCCAAGAGGAGACTTAGAAGTTGCATCTCCAAACATGATTGAAGTAGTAGGGCGCTGCAAGGCTCCAGCAATGCCTAGCTTCTCTGCCATGGAGAGAGAGATCAGATTGATGCTTGCTCCAGAATCCACTAAGGCATTGTCAATCTCAAGATGCCCAAGTGTGCAAGGGAGAGTGAATTTCCCTTGATCCTTGACCTTTGGTAGGAAAGGTGGGTGAAGTAAGCAGGTTGAACTGATGAGTAGACTCTTGTAGGACCTCTGAAACTTTATCACTGTTGGCAGAACATCCTTGACCATTTGCATTTGATCAAATGCCTCACTCATGCTATCCATAGGAGGCAACTCAATTCCAATCCCACTGAGATCTCTTCTGAACTTGTGAATCACTTCCTTGTGACCTTGACTAAGTAGGCGAGACGAGGAAGCGGCAACCGGTTGGTAAGGATCAAGCAAAACAGGCTGGGACAGAAGAGGTCGGACTCGATCGAGCTAGAGTTGGACTCGATCGAGCTGCCGATCGAGCTTGTGTGCGAGCTCAACTGGTGAAGTGTGAATGGCCACAGTAGGTGCTGCACTTCTGGTTGATCAATCTGGACTCCAGGAGCCTCAGCAGCAACAATCTCTTCATCATTCAGCAGTAAACAAAAATCTTCAATGACCCTTTCTTGATCCTCTTCTTCAACAAGTCCTTCTTGAGTGAAGATGACCTTGCACTGTTCCTTGGGGTTCTGAATAGCTTTACCAGGTAGTTGTCCTTGCTTTGTAGCAGCAGCAACAGAAGAAGCATGATTCTCCAGAGAGTAAACCCTTGTGTTGAGGTTCTCGATCTTAGAGTTTATTTCAGCTAGCTTCTTGCTTGTGTCCACTACCCCATCAGCTTGCCCTTGAAGTAGTTGCTTTAGCATTGCCTTGAGCTCATTCTCTTGTGAAGGTGCAGGCTGGGGTGGTTGGTGGGGAAAGCCTGGTGGGATATTCATTTGTTGTCCAGGGAAAGTGCCTTGTGGTCCTTGGTAATTGTTCTTTTGACCATACCCATGTTGTGGCACCTTGACTCGATCGAGCTGCTTGTTGTTGAGGATATACTTGGTCCTGAGGGTTAGCAACATCAGTGTTGCGGTATGACATGGCAGGGTTGGACTTGTAATTATAGTATCCTTTGTTGTAACCTCCTTGCCCATTGCTCATGTAGCACACCTCAGCAAATTGTGTATCCTCCCCTTCTTGGACTGGTTCCATCTCCTCAGCAGACACAAAGTTGACTTTCTTCATTGTGGACTGAGCTAGGATCAGCTTATCCAACTTCTCATTCAATGCCTTAACATCTTTTCTCAACTTTTCGTCTGACTCGATCGAGTGGTGGGTCGAGCTCCGATTGGTGCGATCATACTCTTCTCCATAGCTTCCATTTGAGTTAGCTATGTTCTCCACAAGTTGCCAGCCATCATCTACATCCTGGTTGAGGAAGTTCCCATTGCTAGCTGTGTCTAGCATCTCCCTATACCTAGGCAAGCATCCTCTATAAAGAGTGGAGAGTAGTGATTCATTGTTGAATCCATGGTGTGGGCACTGACTTGTGTAGCCTTTGAACCTCTCCCAAGCCTCTGCGAATGTCTCATTGTTTCGCTGGATGAAGCTGGATATCTCTCCTCTAAGCTTGGCTGTGCGACCGGTGGAGAAAAACTTAGCAAGAAAGGCCTTCTTGCATTCATCCCAAGTGGTGATTGTGCCATGGGGCAAGCTCTTCTCCCATTGGTGAGCTTTGTCAGCTAGAGACATAGGAAAGAGTCTCAGCTTGATGGCATCTTCAGAGACACCATTGATCTTTGTCAAATCACAAAGCCTATCAAACTCATCAAGGTGGTCAATGGGGTCTTCACTTGGCAATCCATGGAACATCTTGTTCTGGACAAGGTTGATCATTCCCAGCTTGATCTCAAAGTTGTGGTTCTGCACTGGTGGTGGAACAATCCCTTGTCTCTGTTGGTGGCGGTTTGGAGCATCTCCTTGACCAATCGGTCGAGTTTGCCTAGCTCGACCGAGTCCATTCCCAAAGGGTTTCCATTCCCCTCTGGTACATCCATTGTATCAGCAACAAGCACCTCAGGTTCCTCTTGTACCCTCTGTGACCTCTGAACCCTCTTTCTACCCGTTGTAAGTCTAGCTCGACCAAGTCTCAGTAGACCGACTCGATCGAGTTCGCATACACCTGCAAAAAGAGACAAAAACCCAGCAGTACAATAGAACAGGGGTGGTATAGCTTGATCGTCCAAGTGTGTTTGAAACTCAAATGCAACAAAAATATTCCCAAATCGGCAACGGCGCCAAATTGATGATAGGATTTGTGTGTGGATGTGAAAAGATATGAAATGAGATGGTGGAATGCAACAGTGGTATATGATGAGGTGGTAAGATGCAAACACAAACACAGTCAACAATTCCCTTTAACCATCATAGTCATTGTAGTAAAGGGTTATCAATCCAAAATGGGAAACTTGTCACTCTATGAGAATATGAAACAACCAGAAAGTCAAGCAAGCAGTAAAGATTTGGTAACACTAACAACCTAAATGAAAATGAAATGAAAGTGCAATAAAAGTAAACAAAGCAGTAACAACAGCTCGACCAAGACTCGAGTCGAGTGGAACAGAGTACCAGCTCGATCGAGTTTAGGGTCGAGTTGAGAAAACAAGCTAAAGGTGACGACTTTAACAAATAAGAGAGAATTAGGGTTCAAGACAGGGTTTTGCAATCAAAGGAATCTACACTTAATCATCTAGCTCTTAAAACTCCTTGTATCAAGGCTTCTCTTGATATTGGGCTTCTCAATGCCTAGCCAACCCTTTCCCAAGGTGGAGGCTATCAACCAAGGAATGATCTCAGAAACAGGGGGTTAGCCAGTGAGAATCAAACCTTGGAGGCCATAGGATCATTGCCCAAACTAATCCATCCAACCCCTTAGACCTCTATTTCTAGAGCAAGAGATATTGGAGCTCTTAGTGGATCTTTTCCAGCGAATGCCATCACTTCCGTGTGGAGAATCGCCTAAGGACTTACAAGCCAGGGGTAGTGGTCATGTAGCCTTAAGATCTATCCAAAAGAGAGAGAATCTAGATTAAGACCATAAGCTAGAAGGATTAAGCATATGAAACCTCTAATCTATCCCATCTCAAACCCTAATGGGTAACTACTCACTACACATGAATGTAAACACAAGCAAATGCAATAAAAGAGACATCATAAGAAAGAGGAGATGAAATTAAACAACTTTTATTGAAATAAGCAAGTGCAAATACAAAGAGATTATCCAGGATCTAGGATTCAAGAAGCAAGAGCTTCAAGAACACAAAGATGGGATTAGAGCTCTAAAAAGTAAAAGACAATAAATTAAAAGAAACTAAAACAAAAGTAATCTAAAGCTTGGTGGTTTTTTCGTGGCTTAGAGCCTTTAAATACAAGAGGATTTAGGTTTAGGGTCAAAGGAAAGTCAAGGGGGAAGCAACATTTTTCGGGTTTGACTGTTGACTTCTCAGCTCGATCGAGTTGAAGCTTGGCCGGTCGAGTCGAGAGTGGTCGAGCTGGTCTTCAAGATGGCTTCTCCCTTCTTCCTTTGCGTATCCAGTTGAGCTGCTTCCATGTGCCAAGTCCCTCCATGCTCCTCGTCCCATATGCTCCAGAATGCTCCAAAAGACCTATTTCAAAGGACCAAACATGCATATGTATGCAAATGCAACCTAAAACTAACATGAATGCATAAGAAGAGAAAAGGAACAAGATATGATGCAAATGGATGCTAAAACTATGCAAAAGATGCATAAAAGATGTACTAAAACTATGTAAAATGCAAGTACATCAGTGATCTGCCCAATGGCCACCCCAATCCAACACACACATCCTCAGCAAATCCTCCAAAGTCTGAATAGTCCTCTCTGACTGACCATCTGTCTGCGGATGATAAGCTGTACTCAGATGCACCTTAGTGCCCATCTCTGCCTGAAACGCCCTCCAAAACTCTGAAGTGAATCTGGGATCACGGTCTGACACAATACTAGCTGGCACTCCATGCAGCCTCACAATCTCTCGCACAAACTTCCTAGCCAAGACAGCAGCTCCATCTGTCTTCTTGATGGCCAAGAAATGTGCGGACTTAGTCAACCGATCCACAATCACCCAGATAGCATCGAAAGTCCTCGAAACAGGTAGTCCAACCACGAAATCCATCGTAATCCTGTCCCACTTCCACTCTGGAATGGGTAAACTCTGCAAAAGACCACCCGGAACCTGATGCTCTGCCTTCACCAAGGCACAAGTGTTGCACTTCGCAACCCAGTCTGCTACATCCCTCTTCATCCCGACCCAATGATAGTACCTCTTGAGGTCATGGTACATCTTGGTCGCTCCCGGATGAATGGAAAACTTGCTCGCGTGAGCCTCTCCCAAAATCTGATGTCTCAACTCCACATCCTTAGGCACACAAACTCGCCCACGAACCAAGATAGTCCCATTCGCAGAGACCTCATACTCAGAACCAGTCACTCTCGTCGCATCTAGCAAACTCTGATCACTCTGCTGAGCAACTCTGATCCTGCTAAGTAGATCCGCCTGATCCACTGCCTCTAAACCCAAAGGCTCCTGCGAAATGGCACACAAACGCAAGGTACTGATCTCGCCAACTAGAGACTCCACATCTCGCTCAACTGCGGAATCATACCTCCGTCTACTCAACGCGTCCGCCACTAGGTTAGCCTTGCCCGGATGGTAGTTAATGCTCACCTGATAGTCCGCCAAGAACTCAACCCAGCGCGTCTGTCTCGCGTTCATCATCGGCTGAGTGAAGATATGCTGCAAACTCTTGTGATCCGTGAAGACCTGTACTGTCTCACCCAGCAAGTAAGACCTCCAAATCTTCAACGCGAAGATCACTGCTCCCAACTCTAAGTCATGTGTAGGACGGTTACGCTCACTGCCCTGCCACTGTCTCGAAGCATATGCTATCACTCTGCCCTCCTGCATCAGCACACAACCAAGACCAATGCCTGAAGCATCTGTATACACCATGTAAGGCTTCCCTGGCTCGGGTAACGCCAACACTGGTGTAGTAGTCAACATCTCCTTGAGCTGACTAAAGCTCTCCTCACACTCAGCTGACCAAACAAACGGGACATCCTTCCCGGTCAACTTCGTCATCGGCTGCGCCATGGTAGCAAACCCCTTGACGAACCTCCTGTAGTATCCTGCCAAACCCAGAAAACTCCTGATCTCGGTGGCACTACTAGGTCTAGGCCAATCTCTGATAGCCTCAATCTTAGCCGGATCCACAGAAACTCCCTCTGCAGAAACAATGTGGCCAAGAAATCCCATCTCTCGCTGCCAGAAACTGCACTTGCTCAACTTAGCAAAAAGCTTCTGCTCCCGAAGCTTCTCCAGAACCAACCTCAAGTGAGTCGCATGCTCCTCCTGACTCCTCGAGTATACCAGAATATCATCAATGAAAATGATGACGAACACGTCCAAATACTCCCTGAACACGTCGTTCATCAATCTCATGAAGGCTGCCGGCGCGTTAGTCAAACCGAAAGGCATAACCACAAACTCAAAATGCCCATAACGCGTCCTGAAAGCAGTCTTCCTGACATCTGCCTCATCTATCGGGATCTGATGATACCCCGATGCCAAGTCAATCTTGGAGAACCAAGTAGCACCCCTCAACTGATCCAACAACTCATCAATCCTCGGGAGTGGGTACCTGTTCTTCACAGTGACTCGGTTAAGACCTCTGTAATCGATACAAAGTCTGAAACTCCATCCTTCTTCTTCACAAACAACACCGGTGCTCCCCACGGTGAAACACTCGGTCGAATGAACCCCTTAGACAAAAGGTCCTCTATCTGCTTCTTCAGCTCTGCCAACTCAGCTGGCGCCATCCTGTAAGGCGTCTTCGATATCGGTGCTGTCCCCGGCTCTAACTCAATCGTGAAAGGATCAGACCGAGATGGTGGTAATCCCTTCAGTGACTGAAAGACATCCTCAAAATCCTGGACAACCTCAATATCTCCCATAACAACTCCAGCTCCTGACTCAGACATAGAAATCGTCGCCAGATACGCCTCACAGCCCCGCTCTAACAACTGCTCGGCCTGAATAGCAGATATCACAATACTCCCGGAAGTCGGTCTCACTCCCTGATAAACCAACCTCCCTGCATCTCGCTCGAAGACCACTCTACCTCTGTAGCAATCCAGATGAACTCTGTAGTGTGACAACCAGTCCATCCCGAGAATAACGTCATACAGCTCCACCGGACTGATGACTAAGTCTGCTGGCATTGACTGCCCCGCAATCTCGATCTCGACTCCTCTAGCACGGCCCAAAGTAGACAAGAATCCACCTCCCGCCACCTTGACCATGCCCGCGCTCTCGCCCGCGCTACTCCGGATGCCACTCTTCTCGGCACGCTCCGGTGTAATGAAGCAATTCGATGCTCCAGAGTCGAATAAAACGTGGGACTCAAAACCGCCCACTAACAAGGTCTACACACAATTGCGTTGAGAACCTCCACAATTCTATCACAGACAAAAAGAACAAACTACAACCACCACAAATGCGCGTCACCACTCAGATAGTGGACGCTAACTCCACCTGATACTAAACAAACATCTGATAGACTGGAAATTCCGCTCCAATCTCTGACGCCACTAATCTGCCGCCTCTGGGCTAACTCCGCCCTAAAGTACGGCGTACCAATCCTCTGCATGTGCCCCATCATATCCAAATAGGCGGCACCATCAAACCCACAGCCTGCGGCTGAACAAACCCGCAGCCCTCTGCTGCACCTCTGCCACTGGAGGTACTCCCGGAGCCCCTGTGGAACCACTGGCGGAAAACGAGCCAATAACTGC